TTCAAGATAACTTTGAGTATGTTATAATGTTGGCCTCATAACTAATATTACTGAATGATAATTCTATGTTAGCCCTTTTAAATGCACCATGATATTAAATCTTTGCCATTTCAATGAATCAACTCTGTTAGGCAGACATTTTTCCTGTAATATTGAAAAGGAAGCTAAGTACTTGAGAGGTCAAATTATATACCTAAACTTAAAGATTTGGAAAGCAGCAGGGCCCAGACTGAGACGTGAGTTTTGTGTGTCATAAGACCCAAGATATACTACATGGAGACATGTGAGGGGATATAATGACAGGAAAGCACACATTGCCTCTCTTCTTGTACATGAATCTGTTCTTTGATTTTAGACACTGTATTTGAATAGAATCTTGATGTTAGCCACATTTAGTCCAGGCATCTAGAATCTGGCCCAAATCAGCAAAGATTTTTTTCTCTGGTTTCTAGTCCCTTCCAATTACCTCTCTTCCTTTCCTCTTGACTATGTCAACATCATTTTATTTTTATGTCTAGTCATGCCAAGCATTTACTTAAACATTTCCAAAATTTTGTGGCATTAGTAAGCAATTTATTAAGTATCCTCCTTTGTAATGTTTTGCTACCACTATGTGGAAACATGTGCTGTTGAATTAGGTACAGATGAGAATTAAATCATAAGAAACTAAAGTTGGTGATCAGCAAAATAATGATAAAATATGAAAGTGTCTATATGGCTGTATTCTTCTTTTCTTTTTTCTCAAAGTTCAGTTTTCTATTCCTATATCAATGTAAATTTTTGGTTTGGCTGTGTACCTGTTTTAGTAAACCAGATATTCTATTCCATTATTCAGAATCAATGCTATGATTCTATTTTTCATTAAGATATTATTTGTCTAAGCAATTCTAAAATAGTGATGATGCTAAGAAGGAATGACAAAGGCAGTAGCTGGAGAATTGGTAATTGGCATAACTACAGAAAATGATTTTTCTCAGTTTTGACACATGTTATCTCTGTATCTTTCATATATCTCATTAGAATTGTTTGGGAATACACATAAAAATTGAAAGTAAATTCGAAAACTTGATTTTATTATCATTAAGCTGTCAAACGTAAGAATTGCAGTGGAATGGGACACTGGTGTATAAATAGCCACAGTACACTCTGAACGTTAATTGCTTTACTTTTTTAAAAGTTAATTTTCACCAAGATTTGTTTTACATGAGTAACTTGAGTAACTTGGAGACCTATGGTTTTAAGTTGACAATTGCTTAATCTATAAACATAAAATGAAGTCATTCCTTTCTAGAAAATTTTCCCCTTATTTATTCTTTCTGGGAAATACATATTTTCCTATGTGACATCGTAGTTATGATGCAGAAAGCAGTGTCTGAAAGTTTCTATTTCTGTACCTCTAATAAATCAGTAATTATTTATTCCAACATCTGCATGCAATAGGCAAAAGAAAAATTTGGCATTTGATTTTTTTTTCAGTTTTCATTTGTCCAGTCTCTGATAGCAAAATATATTAACCTGGCCCTCAGATTGTCTGCATTCTCCATATCTGGTTTCCAGTCATGTATCTATCAATAGTAGCTACCCCGTGAGATTCAGGACCAAGGAACTAGTCAAGTGCCTATAGTGGATAGAATAAGTTTGACTTCCCACAGCAAAAATGAATAAAAATTCAACCATCAGTCAAATCCTCTGGCATGAGAAACTAATGTGTCCTGATAGGGTTTGTTAAGGGCGTGCTTTCTCAGTTCCACTCATGATGCTTCCTTCTGAGACTATGACTTGGATTGCCATTTTGAGTGGAGATACAAAAGATAAATGACAAAACTTTAAATTGAAAGCAGTTTATACATCTCAACCAGTGTAAGCTTCTTTCCATTTATGTTGCAAGAATCCCTGCAACATTCCTTGATGTTCAGCTTTGTTTTATCCATTTCTGACAAGGCATCAAAATGAAAGAAAGATGATTGACAACATTAACAAAATCTTAATCTTCTTTGTTGAAAAGCAGGATACAGTGAATGTCAGAAATATGATAAGTTAAGCTTGCATTTATGGATGGCACAAATGGCCCAATGAAAGATGAAACTGCATTATGTACTCTTTGCCAGAGGCTGGTATTGGCAGTTAGAGGTCAGCGCCTGGATAACAAAGAACTGAGATAACAGGGGAAGTTAAGAAAAAACAACTATCTATCATGGAGCTCTCATCTATAAATAATGCTTGCCTTAACATATGCTGAGAATATAGGTAGATACAAGATTTAGAAAGCAAAGTAAATTTCTAACTTTAGGAAAATTAGTCTTTGTAGAAAGATGAAACTATTCCCCTTGAGATAACAACCAAGTAAGTGCTTGATTAAGGAGTATAGACATGTTGATTGGAAATATTCAGATGGGTTAGTAATAGTTAAAAGGTTTATACAAATAAGTAATATCCAAAGGTAGAAAATATCTGACAGGAAAATAAGCTATTCAGTCATCAATTTTTTCCAAATGTTTAGATATTTTTATTATTTTATTATTGGAAGTTGTGCATTGTAAATACTAAGGTGAACATTAAAAGAATAAACAATAAACAATCATCCTTTTATATTCTTGGTGTTAAAATAAATTGTACATCAACAGGCAGGACAAGGGCTGATCAAGTCACTGTTTCTCATAGTGTCCCTTTCATTGTTGAAGTACAATTGTACAATTTATTTTAACACCAAGAATATAAAAGGATGATTGTTTATGGTTGTTTATTCTTTTAATGTTCACCTCAGTATTTACAATGTACAACTTCCATTAATTAGAATTAACACATACACATGCTATAAATATGCTATAAATACAGAATATATTGCTATATGCTATAAATACAGAATATATTGTTAGTATGTTTAGACAGTTATTTAAAAATAAATTCATGTAACTTAATCTGTTCTATTCCTTGTACACTTCATTTCTTGATTTACATCCAGTCTTTTGACTGATATATCATTTCTTCTTTCTAAAGAGCTTCCTTTAACATTTCTTATAGTGCAGATCTGTTGGCAATTGGTTTTCTTTGTTTTATTTACATGCGAAAGCTTTGATTTCTATTTTCATTTGGATTAGATTTCTGACATGAGAACTTTTTTGCATCACATGAAAGATATCCTTTTATTGCCTTCTGTCTTGCATATTTTTTGACAGGAAGTCATATACATACCATCTTTGTTCTGTATACAATGCATCTTTTTTCTATTCTGTTTTCAGATTCTTTTTGTGTTTTGTGGTTTGAATGATATGAGAAATCCATATTTTTTCTCATGCTTTCTTTTCCTCCCTTTGGTAATTTATCTTCCCTTGTGTTCTTTGAGCTTCTTGGGTTCGAGGTTTGATTTCTATCATTAATTTTGGAAAATCCTTGAGTATTTGGTCAAGTATGTCTTCTATTCTCTTTCTTTTCTGTGTCAGATATTGCAATGAAAACTGTGTCAGGCTGCTTGATAATTTCCAACATCTCTTGGATGTCCTAATTTTTTTAAAACTCTTTTTTTCTTTTTGTGTTTTCACTTGTGTCATTTTTATTCCCTCATCTTCAAGTTCTCTCATTCTTTCATTACCTCCATCAAGTCTACTGATAATCTCATCAATGGTATTATGTCTGTCACTGCATGTTTCATTCCTAGTATTTTCATTTGATTTTCTTATAGATTTTATCTCTATGATGTATTTTACTATCTCACCTTGCAGACTGTGAAACATTAATTACAGTTATTTTAAATATCCTGTTTGCTAATTCCAACATCAGCATCATTTTTTAATCTAATTCTATTGATTGCTTTGATCTTAACAATTTTGTATTATTTTTCCTCCTCTTCCCCTCTTCCTCTCCTTTTCTTGCAGCCCCACACTCCTTTTCTACTGAAGCCTAGTGTGATGGTTAGTGCGGTCAGGTGTCAGCTTGACTAGGCCATCAGTGACTAGGCCAACCATTATTCTGGTTGTTTCTGTGAGGATATTTTTGAATCTACTTTTTTTAAAATCCACTTTTTAATTTTTTTAAATTTATTTATTTATTTTTGACAGGCAGAGTGGACAGTGAGAGAGAGAAAGGCCTTCATTTTCCATTGGTTCACCCTCCAATGGCCGCTGCTGCCGGTGCACTGCGCTGATCCGAAGCCAGGAGCCAGGTGCTTCTCCTGGTCTCCCATGCGGGAGCAGGGCCCAAGGACTCGCGCCATCCTCCACTGCACTCCCGGGCCACAGCAGAGAGCTGGACTGGAAGAGGAGCAACTGGAACAGAATGTGACACCCCGACTGGGACTAGAACCTGGGGTGCTGGCGCCGCAGGTAGAGGATTAGCCTAGTGAGCCATGGCGCCGGACGTGAGGATATTTTTGGATGACATTACCATTTAAGTTGGTGGTCTGAGTAAGGCCAACTGCCCCCTCTTAATGTGTTTGGCTTTATTCAAGCAGTTGAAACTCTAAACAGAACAAAAAGGCTGTCCCTCTCTTGAGTGAGATCTTCTTGCCTAACTGCCATCAAACTAAGATATCCAGCTATTTTAGTCTCAGACTAAAATATTATCTCTTCCTGAAGGTAAAGCCTGTGGGCATTTGGCTTAGAGTTAGTCCATCTATTTACTGATTCTCAGGCCTTCTGACTCAGATGGGAATGGCGCCATTGGCTCTCCTGGCTCTCCAGCTTGCTGACCCACCCTGGAGATGTTGGAACTTCCTCTTCTCCATAACTGTGTGAGCTAATCCTTTAATATGTGTAATCTATTGGTTCTTTTTTTAAACTTTTATTTAATGAATATAAATTTCCAAAGTACAGCTTATGGATTACAATGGCTTCCCCCCCATAACGTCCCTCCCACCTGCAACCCTCCCCTTTCCCACTCCCTCTCCCCTTCCATTCACATCAAGATTCATTTTCAATTCTCTTTATATACAGAAGATCAGTTTAGCATACATTAAGTAAAGATTTCAACAGTTTGCTACCACACAGAAACATAAAGTGAAAAATACTGTTTGAGTACTAGTTATAGCATTAAATCTCAGTGCGCAGCACACTAAGGACAGAGATCCTATTGGTTGTGTTTCCCTGAAGACCCCTCATTAATTTAGGCACACATCTTGTGACAGATAATAGACCCTGAAGTAAATAGATTTCATGTCTGGAAATGAGTAAGCTTTTCCTTCGTCTAGGGCGTTAGTTGTGTAAGCTGAGTACATTAAGCAATCTGTTGGTGTTTTTATGGTCACCACCACATGAAGTTCCTCAAATTCCTTTTGTGCTACATTTTCTCAGAATGAGGGCTGCTGTTCTGTGGGCTCTCCTCCAGGTCTTCTCCACTGCCAGGTTTGAGTATGCCCTTTGATTTATCTTTCTCCAAATCTTGAAAACTCCCAGTAGATTCTGTGGCTCCTTGCTATTTGATGTCTGCTAGCCTCACAATTGGGAAATTGGGGGCTTATTTGCTGGCTCTGATTAAACTTCAGTCTTAAGCAGATTCTATATTCCTGCATCTGTCATACAACCTTGTCAGTGCTCTGACCCCTCTTCCAGCTGTAGTTTCAGGCCATGTGTCTCTCTTCTAGGATAGAGATAATTTCTGTTCCTTTTCATGTTACAAGCGTTTTTTTCAGACAATGTTTATTTTCTCATTTTAAGGCTTCAGTTCTATGGAGATACTAGGGGAGAAGAAACTGGGTGGTTAACTTCTTCCCCACAGAGGCTATTGTTACCTTTCTTTTTTTTTAAAGATTTATTTTATTTAATTGAAAGACAGAGTTATAGACAGAGAGAAGTCTTCCTTTCACCAGTTCACTCCCCAAAGGGCTGCAACTCCGGGCTGAAGCCAGTAACCAGGAGTGCCATCTGAGTTTCCCATATGGATGCAGGAGGTTGGGCCATCCTCTACTGCTTTCCCAGATACATTAGCAGGGAGCCAGGTCAGAAGCGGAGCAATTGGGACTATAACTGGTGCCCATATGAGATGCCAGGGCTGCAGGTGAAGGCTTAATGCACTAGGCCATAAAGCCAGCCCCCTATTGTAAAAGGGGACCCTTTCTCAGGTTTCTCACTGAAAATGGCATAATATGCCTCTTTAAAATATGCCACTTAATGATTACTTAGAGCTAAAGTCAGACTCTCACATGAAAGGTACTTTTGTTATACTAGGATGATTAAGGTCATTCTTATCACCAGAGATAGAAAACCAGCTAACATAATTCTGCAATGAACAGCCCTTGCTAAAAATAAATATTTTTTTTTTCAGAGTTTAGGACCTTTAATTTGTCCTAAAGTCACTGAAGCAAAAATCATGATAAAACATTCTGTTTTCCTTTACAAGCCCTCAACGGGAAAAAAAACCCAACTATTTGTAGGAAAAAAAAGTTTTGTACATGGGATGAAACAATATAAATTCAAAACTTACAGATAGGGTTAGCTCTATCACTCATCTCTTTAAAAAGTTTATATGAATATCCAGTCAAAACCGACAGGTATCGCCCTTGAAATGTTATCTCTACGACTTCCAAGCAGACACAGGACTGTGTGCAGACACACTAAAAATAAATATTATATTCCATGAGTCTTCCCATATATTTTAGTTCCATATTCATAATTATCTCTCTGTTAACAAGGAAGTAGAGAAATATTGACCCTTTGGCTCTCCCTTGGGTCTTCTTTCTTTTACTTTATGTAGGTACCTCTATTTATAAAATAAAATATGTATGCTTTTCTCCTATTAATCTATCATATGTCTTAGGCCTAGAAGAAACTCTAACAGAATGGAGGTGATGTTTTGTCTCCCTTATGTCACCAAATGTTTTTGTGATTGTCTAATGAAGTCCACAGGGAAGAGTTCCCACTGGCAGGGGATTCCCTTTATATCTGCACATTAGCAGGTGTATGTTCTTTTATTAGTAATCACTTTGCCTTCACCTACTTATTAACAGTTTTTGCTGAATTCTTTTGCTACTGTCTATCTTGGGTAAGCAAATGCTTGTCTCTCTGCCAGCAGCTGTTTCTTCTTAAATTTCAAGCTAGTTGGTTGTGCTATGAACCCAGCTCTTTATAACAGCTGTGAACCCAGATATTCAGTCTCTACTTTTTGGTAAGGTTATGAGAGATATATTTCCAGCCTTTAACATCCAAAATGGAAACCTTAATGGTATTATTTTAGCTTTTTCGTCACTATTGATAGGCATGTGTGTTTCACTGTTTGAGGTTAGTGGATTGAGTGTTGTATAGTGCCCAGTTCCCTGAGACTTATGTGGAATGTGTGCACTTTCAGTGAATAAAAAGAAGTGTGTGCTGGGTATGGCCAGGGAGCTCCAGTCAGTGCTCCAGGGGGGGATGAGTATCCAGGGTAACACCTAAATTGGGTGTGAATTGAACTGCAATGAACGTGGGGGTACAGATAACTCTTTCATCTGCTGATTTCATTTACTTTGGGTAAATTCCCAGGAGTGGGATGGCTGGAATATACAGTAGGTCTATATTCAGATTTCTGAAATCTCTCCATACTGTCTTCCACAGTGGCTGCACCAGTTTGCATTCCCACAAATAGTGGATTAGGTTACCTTTTCCCCTACATCCTAACCAGCATTTGCTGTTTTTAATTTCTGTATGAAAGTCATTCTAAGTGGGTGAGGTGAAACCTCATTGTGGTTTTGATTTGCATTTCCCTGATGGCTAGTGAAGCTGAGCATTTTTCAAGTGATTTTTGGCCATTTAAATTTCCTCTCTGGAAAAATGGCTGTTCAAGTCTTTTGCCCACTTCTTAAACTAAAATAGATTGTTTGTTTTGTTATTGTTGAAGATATGTGACAACATAATTTGAGGATAGTTACTGCAACAGTGACTTACAGCTGATTGGTAAAAATTTAGAGCAAATCCTGGGGTCTGTGGGGTGATCCTTGCCAGGAGTGAGTTAAAGGGTTGTTGATCCACATTGATATCTCAGTTGATGGTGCAGAGGATTTACAGTGAGGCACAGTAAGGCTCTCACAAAGAAGACCTGTACAGGGAGCAGTATAGTTGAAGTTTCGTTTTTGAGGGTTGATACTGGTAACATTATGAGGAAAAAAGCCAGCAGAAGATAATATCAGAAGTAGGAACTCCTGTTGTGAGGCTGTTCCAATTCAATTGCTGCCAAGCCAATTTCCCTTAACCATAGTTGGTTAGAACCACCAGTTATATATCCGTTGATCCTATGGTTCAGGGCTACAGATTGGGGAAAGCAGAGACAGCTTATTTCTGTTCCATGATGCCTGGGGCCTCGAGATTTGAATGTGGCAGATACTGCAGGTGAATTGATGTCAGGGGACTGGTATCATGTGGAAGTTTGCTTTCTCAGCTGGCTGGTTCCTGGGCTGGGAGGAAGAGAAATCTAGCCTGTTGTGAGAACTTCTAAGGGTGGCCACTCTGCATGTATCAACTGGTGGTTTGACTTTTAATCTGGTTGTTTTGAGCTTCAAGTATGTTACAAGTGTTTTAGCAAACAGATACAAACAGAAATACCTTTATGGTAGACCCTGGAAAACTACAATGAATTATATCATTTTATTGCTTATAAGCAAATACTCAGCCACCCAGATTCAAGAGGAAGGAAACAGCCCTTCCTGATGAGGAAGCAGTCATGTCTAGAGGAGGCTGTGGGATGGAGTAGTCTTACAGCCATATTTGACAAATACAGCATGCCAGAGGGACTTTGTCATGTTGTGAATAAAAAGAACTGAAGCTTGGAACTGAGGCAGCAAAAACAGAGACAGAGACACAAGCTTGGGTTTAGGATGTTCTCAGTGAATGTAACTGACAGAAGTGATTACATTTAAATCTTTCTGAGAATGTGGCAGGATTCAGATGCATGGCCAAAAATGCTAGTCACAAGAACCAAATTTGTCAGAAAATTTTCTTCTCTGTTTAACCAAGTTCTTTTGGTGTTTATTATTCATTGTGTAAACCATTGTTGACATTTATAAAGAGATAAATTATGTTCCCTTTATGGGGCATACACAGAAGCTATTAAGAGATATGGGGCTAAACTACTCAAGAAAGAAAACATTACCTAAGACTCTACAAAAATTGAATGTATCAAAACCTTTTATAATGACATACATAAACCAATGTGAAGGGGAAAGAAAACTTGAATATTTTAAGAGTTAAGTGACACAATTAATGGGGGAACTATAAAATATTGGGGGGATACAATAAAAATTGGTGTTAACTAAAGCACAGCCTTTTCCTCAGACACATGTCTTGTTTCATTTTGAGATTTATTAAGCTTCTTTTTAAATATTCTTAATCTTCCTGGTTGAATTAGCATGTCTTTATGTTTTTTAAATTGATTAAATATACTTATTTAAAAATCTATTTCATTTCCATGGATTTCCTTGATGAAAAGTAACAGGTGGGGGGATCTTCATATCTGGAGACAAGAATCCTTAACTTTCTGTAGATGATTTTATCATTTTGGAGTTTGTTCATTTTGTGCCTCTATTTTGTCTTCTGAAATAAAAGAATCAGCCAAAGTCCATCATACCTCCATACAGATACCTGGGTGCAATAATGCAAGGCAAATATACATTCATTCAAAGGTTTGCTAAGTCCAATGCTGACAAAGGATTTGTCTCTATGAAGGGAATTCAGAACCAGATCTGAGATTTGGCAAATATAAGTGCATGTCATAAAAGCCAGGAGAGAGTGTTTCCTCATAAATATTTACACAGAGATCTCAGGTGGCTACAAATCTTTAAATGTCAAATACTAACAGCAGTGTTGGCTTTCATTTCTTATACTCAAAATAACCAACACTCAACGCTAATATGATTTCAAAGGGAATTTTGAAAATGCAATGATAAAGTAGCAGATACAAAAATTAGATCTAGGGTAGCTGTTTAGTGCTCTGATATTTACAAAAAGAATTGCTTTGCTTGCTTAGCTCGTAAAGCTAATATTTCTAGGAGTTTCCAATTTTGTTCTGTTTCATAAATTTTTGTTTTGTTTTATAAAAAGAGACTTTTCTCTTATTTTGTGGCTTAAATATGTTGATTCAAGTTAGCTGCCAACTATTTGATCCTAAAACTACTTTTCAAGATCAAATTCTCCACAGGATATTTTTTTCCCTCACTCATCTTGAGATCAAATGTCCTAATTTTAACACTGATAAAGTAACATTTTTGCTTTTAATAATGAAAAGAAATTTTAAAGTATTGGCAGTTTCAGAAGGGCCAGTTGAAACCAAAGTATAGGAATATTGAAAATATTACTAATTGGGACCATGGGGAATTTAATCTTCAGTGAACCTGTTGCAAATAGTGGATAATAATAGTTGCTTCCTAAACTTCTTGTCG